ACTGCACTCCAGCCTGGGCAACAAAGCAAGACTCCATCTCAAAAAAAAAAAGAAAAAGATTTTAAATGTTTAATAGGTCACAATCAAAGGACAAAGAATCAAAATGCATTGAACTTCGCAACAGCAATATTGGAAGCTTAAAGACAATGGAGCAACACCTTTAACATTTGGAAAATATTATTATTCTATTTTTCAATTTGTTTTATTTTATTTATTTATTAATATATTTTTGCAATGGAGTCTCGCTCTGTTGCAAGAGCAAGAGGCTGGAATGCAGTGGCGTGACCTTGGCTTACTGCAACCTCCGCCTCCCAGGTTCCAGTGATTCTCCTGCCTCAGCCTCCCGAGTAGCTGGGATCACAGGCATGTACCACCACGCCTGGCTAATTTTTGTGTTTTTAGTAAAGATGGGGTTTCACCATGTTGACCAGGCTGGTCTCAAACTCCTTACCTCAGGTGATCCATCCACTTTGGCCTCCCAAAGTGCTGGGTTTACAGAAGTGAGCCACTGTGCCCGGCCTATTTTATTTTATTTTATTTCATTATTTTATTTTTTGAGACGGAGTCTCACTCTGTTGCCCAGGATGGAGTGCAGTGGCACGATCTCGGCTCAGTGCAACCTCTGCCTCCTGGGTTCAAGCGATCCTCCCACCTCAGCTTCCTGAGCAGCTGGGACCACAGGCACACGTCACTACACCTGGCTAATTTTTGTGTTTTGTGTAGAGACTGGGTTTCACCATTTTGCCTGAACTCCTGACCTCAAGTGATCCACCCGCCTTGACCTCTCAAAGTGCTGAGATTACAGGCCTGAGCCACTGCGCCCGACCAGCCAATTAATAAAAGGAAGGGATCACCACAAATTTAAAAATCAGAAGTAAAATGTGATTGTTCTGTGTGTGTGTGTGTATGTGTGTGTGTGTTTTGTTGTTGTTTTGTTTTTGCTTTTTTCTGAGATGGAGTCTCGCTCTGTCACCCAGGCTAGAGTGCAGTGGCATGATCTTGGCTCACTGCAACCTCTACCTCCCATGTTCAAGGGATTCTCCTACCTCAGCCTCTCAAGTAGCTGGGACTTACGGACACATGCCACCACGTCTGGCTCATTTTTGTATTTTTAGTAGAGACGGGGTTTCACCATGTTGGGCAGGTTGATCGCGAACTCCTGATCTCAGGTGATCCTTCCACCTTGGCCTCCCACATTGCTAGGATTACAGGCGTCAGCCACCTTGCCTGATGTGTGTGTGTGTTTTTAATAATATAGAATGGTATTATAATTAGGGCAATAGAATGAAAATATTAAATTATTTAACTTCTGTTTCTGGCTTATTCTGCACTCTTCTTATTTGCGAAAGATAAAAACGTGAATAATTGGAATAATAAACTATGAGTATAAATATATTCTCTCTCAGGAGATACACACACACACACACACACACACACACACACACACATTTTTTTTCTTCTTACAGAGGTTTTACTGCGTTTGGTCCACAGTCATATTTCACATTATCTCATGGGGCAGGGCTCCTGGGTGGGGGTCCCTGTGTAGTACTTGGTAGGGCGTATGGCCAGGGGAGATGGAGCAGTATAGCTGGTCAGGCCCAGAAGGGGAGAAGGAGGGCTGGAGGCTCCTTAAAACCTACTGAGGGGCCGGGCATGGTGGCTCACACCTATAATTCCAGCACTTGAGGAGGCTGAGGTGGGTGGATCACCTGAGGCCCGGAGTTTGAGACCAGCCTGGCCAACATGGTGAAACTCCATCTCTAATAAAAATACAAAAATTAGCCAGGCGTGGTGGAGCACCTACAGTCCCAGCTACTTGGGAGGCTGAAGCAGGAGAATCCCTTGAGCCAGGGAGGTGAAGGTGCAGTGAGCCAAGATCTTGCCACTGCACTCCAGCCTGGGCAAGAACAACAACAACATCAACAAAACTGACTGAGGCCATAGTGGAGGGGGGTGGTTAGCATGGAGAGGGGGTCAGGCTTAGCCCCAACAACGCAGAATTCCACTTCATTGTACGGGCCCCCCTTTCCACCGGCCCTGGGGCAGGTCTGAGGGTCTGAGGTCTGTTGGTCTGAGGGTGCTAGGGAAATGCAGCCACTTGGCAGCCTGAGATATTTAGCATGGTGGCCAGGCCCCCTTTCCCAGGGGACTCATTTCCCAGCACTCTCTCCACTGTCCCTGCCCCATTCCTTGGGGGAAAAAAAAAAAAGTATTTTTCTTTTGTTAATACTTCCTGAAACTTCTGCGGGTAGAGAAACCACAAACTGATAGGCTGACAAAATGGGGAAGAGACAAGGCAACCGGAAACCTTCCGGGACTGGTTCCCTCCAAGCCTAAGTCTCTTCTCCCCAGCACAGCTTGGCCCACAGCCTGGACTTGCCGGCAGAGACCCTCACCCTACACATATGGGATATGGCTTTGACCCCTTCCCCCATAGCCCGGTGGCTCAGTCCTACGAAGGACCAAGGCAAGGGGGAAAAAGACCCGCTCCCTGATCCCATACCGCCACTCACAGACCCTGGGTTGATTGGCAACACTGAACAGCTTAAGAAAAAAGAAAGACGAAAACACAGAAAAACCCAAAAACTCAGACGGGGAGACGTTGTGGGGAGAGAGCGTGCTGGGAGCCTCAGTAGCCAGCCTCCTCCTGGAAGTAAGGCGGATATTCAGGGACTTCCATCAGGCCCGGGCAGTCGCTGGCGCCTGAGGGAGCCCCGTTGGCCACTGTGCCTTAAGGGCAGAACTTGGGGTCCTATATCTGCCGGCCCAGGCCAAAGACCTGGCCGCTCTGCTTGGCACTCTGCGTGTAGCCCATCTGCAGGGACATGGAGGAGTTGTCACACTTGTCGGTTCCCAGCTTGGTGTCCACTGGGTGCCGGGGGCTGTCATGCCCACCTGGCTGGCACACTTGTTTGTACCCATCTGGAGGCTGATGGTTGAGTGGTCCATGGGGGGCAGGAGGTGGTTCTTGGGGTTGTAGAGATGCCTCCTGGTGCCGTCGGAGTCATACCCGACTGGCTGGTGCATTTGTTGGTGCCCATCTGCAGCCCGATGGCGTACTGGCCAGCCTTCATGGTGGCATCGTCGAAATTCTGCTTCTGCTTCTCCCAGTACTTAAGGCCGATGTCCACCCCGCTCTGCAGCCTCTTAGTCTTGGCCTTCCCCACCAGCGCGAGAAGAGACACCTGCACCTGCCTCATGTTCCCACTCTCAAACAGGTCGCTGGCTTCGAACAAGTCCACAGTGTTCATGCCTTCCCTACCATGGGCTTGATGAAGTTGGAGAGGTTTTCTAGCTGGTGCCAGTTCTGCATGGAGCGGTTGATCTTGGGAACTGAGCTCTGCTGTAGCTTGTTGATGAGTGTGCGTAAGACAGTCCCGTCCTTCAGGCCCTTCTGGAAGTCGGGGCCGATGGAGTGGCCGGTGAGTCCCTGGATCCAGCTGCAGAGCTCTGCCTCCTTCTAGCACAGGAGCCAGTTCTTGACCTCGGCGGACAGCCGGTACGAGGAGTCCTTGTTGAACTGCCTGGAGCTCATGGCTGGCGGGCGCGGCGGTGGGGTGGGATGGGATGGGAGGGGACGGGACCGCCTGGTGGGCGCGGGTCTGGGACACGCTCCTCTCCGGATAGTTTTATGTGGTCTGGGCATGGTGGCTAACAGTTGTAATCCCAGCACATTGGGAGGCCAAGATGGGAGGATCACTTGAGTCCAGGAGTTTGAGACCAGCCTGGACAACATAGCAAAACCCTATCTCTACCAAAAAGAAAAAAAAGTTGTTGGGGGCGTGGTGGCAAGCGCCTGTAGTCCCAGCTACTCGGGAGGCTGAGGGGAAGGACAGCTTGAGTTCAGAAGTTCTAGGCGATAGTAAGCTATCATCAGTCTACTGCATTCCAGCCTGGGTGACAGAGCCAGACTCTGTTTCTAACTCAATCAATCAATCAATCTGTAGTGATATATATATATATTCTTTTTTTCTTTTTTTCTTTTTTTGAGACAGAGTTTCACTCGTTGCCCAGGCTGGAGTGCAATGGCACAATCTCGGCTTGCCACACCTCCGCTTCCCCAGGTTCAAGCGATTCTCCTGCCTCAACCTCCTGAGTAGCTGGGATTATAGGCATGCACCACCACGCCCAGCTAATTTTGTATTTTTAGTAGAGACAGGATTTCTCCATGTTGGTCAGGCTGGTCTACAACTCCCGACCTCAGGTGATCTGCCTGCCTTGGTCTCCCAAAGTGTTGTGATTACAGGTGTGAGCCACTGTGCCTGGCTATAGTGATATTTTTATGTGGAGCTGAAGAACAAAAGCTATTCTGTTATCTGGACACAGGTTTTAGTTGGTTATTTATTTATTTTTTTTGAGACAGACTCTCTCTTTGTTGCCCAGGCTGAAGTACAGTGGCGTGATCTTGGCTCACTGCAACCTCTACCTCCTGGGTTCAAGCAATTCTCCTTCCTCAGCCTCCCAAGTAGCTGGGATTACAGGTGCCCACCACTAAACCCAGCTAACTTTTGTATTTTTAGTATAGATGGGGTTTCACCATATTGGCCAGGCTGGTCTTGAACTCCTGACCTCAAGTGATCACCCTGCCTTGGCCTCCCAAAGTGCTAGGATTACAGGTGTGAGCCACCGTGCCCGGCCAGACCACTCCAATTTTTAATAACCAAGCTATATGTGCCACACACCGAAATCCTGCCTTTTTTGGAATAAGGAGAATAAGCTGATATGATTTGACGCTTCTTCCCTGCAGAGCCTGAACCTCCAACTTGAGAGATAGAGATGAAAAAGTCCAACTCAGAAAGTCCATTTCAGCCTATTTGGTGTCTAGGAATTTGAGATACTAATTGTCTTATCCCTACCCACTTCCCCATCTCAGAAAATCTGCCTTGCCACAGAGTCCCTGGCAGGGGCAGCTATGCTACTTACCATTAGACCTTGTCTCCCTAGCTGCAGCTGATTGGATCAGAGAAGAACACCTAATCCATTCAGATACTTTTTCCCCACTTAACATGGGATGCCTCACAAATTTGGGTGTCATCCTTGCGTAGTGACTATACTCATCTTCTCTGTATTGGTCCAATTTTAGTGTATGTGCTGCTTATGTGGGCACCAATCCAATTATTTTGCTTGCTAATTTGAACCCAGAGACTTCAACTTTGAGTCACTAGCTCAGTGGAGGACACCAGAGCTGGAGAGTCAGGTAGTGTGAGCAGTGGCAGCCATTTTTTTGGTGTATGCAAAGGTGGGGAGAGTAGTGGTCTGACAACTTTGACATCTGTGACTTCTACTTGGGATCTGTGATCTTCCCCTCTGGATTTCTGATCATCCCCTTTTAATTAATTAATCAATCAATTTTTATTTATTCTTTGAGACAAGGTCTCGCTCTGTCGCCCAGGCTGGAGTGCAGTAGTGTAAGTATGGCTCAGTGCAACCTCAACCTCCCAGGTTCAATTAATCCTTCTACCACAGCCTCCAGAGTAGCTGGGACTACAGGCATGTGCCACTATGCTTGACAAATTTTTAATTATTTTTGGAGTTGGGGTCTCGCTATGTTGCCAGGGCTGGTCTCCAACTCCTGGACTCAAGTGATCCACCCTCCTTGGCCTCTCAAAGTGTTGGGATTACAGGCATGCATCACTGCGCCTGGCTGATCATTCCCTTTTAAATTGGGTTAGGATAGCTTTCTTCTACTTGTTAACCAAAGAATACCTGACTGAACAGATTTTAAAAGTCCATTTTTGTCACTCTACCTTTTTGCACCTTTCTCTGAGCCTCCAGATCCTACGGATTCCCTGTTATGTATGTAAATTGGTTGTGAGCAGGGAAACAGGGAGAAGATATTTCCTTGAAATGTCCTAGACAAGAGACATCTGCATCCTTCTAGATACAGGGATTCAGGGGTTCTTCAAGCCTCAGCCTGGCTTGCAGCAGCTTTGGCAGCCTTTGGAAGGCATCAGATGGTCAGCCATGTGATACATAACCTATGTAACTTAATGCCATTTATTACTTTATAATTGTGTGAAACTATAATTTGTAAGCAAATTTTGTTTAAAAGCTACTATGTTTTTCTAATTGTTTTGGTACACTTCTATAAAACAAGGCTATTCAATCCTGGTTGCAGGTTCCCAACCATCAATTTTTTGCTAGATTTAATATATAGTATATAGTTAGAGTTTTCAGTACATATGGAAATTTTCAGAAATTTTTCTTTTATTTCTTTGATCTCAAGGTTCTTAAAAAGCTGACATAGGCCAGGCATGGTAGCTCATGCTTGTAATCCTAGCACTTGGGAAGGCCAAGGCCAGAGGATCCCTTGAGGCCAGGAGTTCAAGAACAGCCTGAACAACTCTCTCAAAAAAAAAAACAAAACAGAGAGAGAGAGAGAATTTTAAGTCATGCAATTAGAGACTCTGAAGAGAATCTATACAAGTAGATATTTATAAATAAACCTAACCTTCTCGTTTTACATATAACTAGTTTAGCATTATTTATTTGAAATCCATAATTGCAGTTTTCAACTCGGCAAAATCTCATGTATACTGTGTATTTAGCACTACGTAATAAGAAGGCAAAAAATCAGGATCCTTCAAATGTTATATACATAAAATTTATGAAACTAGGAATTACTACATTTCAATATAAACTCAACTAATGAATTTTATTCCAGAAAATGTACGAATTACAAACATTTGGCTGGGCGCGGTGGCTCACGCCTGTAATTCCAGCACTTTGGGAGGCCGAGGCGGGCGGATCACCTGAGGCCAGGAGTTCGAAACAAGCCTGGCCAACATGGTGAAACCCCTTCTCTACTAAAAATACAAAAAATTAGCTGGGCGTAGGGGCGGGAGTTGGGGTGGGGCGCCTATAATCCCAGCTACCTGGGAGGCTGAGGCAGGAGAATCGCTTGGACCTGGGAGGTGGAGGTTGCAGTGAGCCGAGATCGCGCCATTGCACACTAACCTGGGCAACAGAGCAAGACTCTGTCTCAAAAACAAAACAAAAAGAAATACAAACATTTAAAGAGGATATTCTATTGTCACCAGTGTAAAAGTAGATACCTTTTCTAAATGGGCACATATCAGATAATTATGGGTACTTTGGTATCTAGTCAGATTACAACATGTATACTTTTTTTTTTTTTTTTTTTTTTGGAGACACAGTCTTGCTCTGTCGCCCAGGCTGTAGTGCAATGGCGTGATCTCGGCTCACTGCAACCTCTGCCTCCCAGGTTCAAGCGATTCTCCTGCCTCAGCCTCCCGAGTAGCTGGGATTACAGGTGCCCACCACCACATCTGGCTAATTTTTTGTATTTTTAGTAGAGATGGGGGTTTCACCACGTCGGTCAGGCTGGTCTCGAATTCCTGACCTCAGGTGATCCACCCGCCTCAGCCTCCCAAAGTGCTGGGATTACAGATGTGAGCCACCACGCCCAGCCACAACACATATACTTTTAAAGTAGCTTTTAAAAAAATGACTTCTGTGAAGTATGAAAAAAGAAAAAAAGAAAAGAAAAAATTATGTTTAATTCTGACATCATAAAAACATGCATTTATTTATAAGTATTGATTATACTGTTTACAATTATTACTTATGAAAGAAAGGTAGATGAAAAATAAAAATCATCATTTTGGATGAAAGGAAATAAATTATTTCTGCCTTGAGTGGTTAAAAATTCAAGTATCGACTGGGCACAGTGGCTCACGCCTGTAATCCCAGCACTTTGGGAGGCCAAGGCGGGTGGATCACTTGAGATCAAGGGTTCAAGACCAGCCTGACCAACATTGTGAAACCCCATCTCTACTAAAAATACAAAAATTAGCCAGGTGTGGTGGCAGGCTCTTGTAATGTCAGCTACTCCAGAGTCTGAGGCAGGAAAATCACTTGAACCCAGGAGGCGGAGGTTGCAGTGAGCTGAGATCATGCCATTGCACTTCGGCCTGGGCAACAAGAGCAAAACTCAGTCTCAAAAAAAAAAAAAAAAAGAAAAAAAATTAAGTATTTTACCATTAGTTTAATTACATACGACTATTTAATTATTATAATTACTACTTTAATTGATTAACCAAGAGATATTTTATAGCTTAATTTTTTAAAGAAAGCAATTATGTGAACAAGGTTTTGCAGTAATTTTAGCTTAGCTTTGTCCATATAGGCTAGTGTTTATGTATTTGCTTTATCCCCTCAGAATTATAATTACACCAAGGTGTTATATAGAAAGGAGTGATTCCCACTTCAACCTGGGAGGCAGAGGTTACAGTGAGCTGGGATCACGCCACTGCACTCCAGCCTTGGTAAAACAGCGAGACTCTGACTCAAAAAAGAAAGAAAGGGCTGAGTGCAGTGGCTCACGCCTGTAATCCCAGCACTTTGGGAGGCCAAGGCAGGCACATCACCTGAGGTCAGGAGTTCAAGACCAGCCGGGCCAACATGGTGAAACTCCATCTCTACAAAAATACAAAAATTAGCCGTGCATAATGGTGGGTGCCTGTAATCCCAGCTACTCAAGAGGCTGAGGCAGGAGAATTGTTTGAACCTGGGAGGCAGAGGTTGCAGTGAGCCAAGATCATGCCATTGCACTCCAGCCTTGGTGACAGAGTGAAACTCTTACCCCCCCCCCCAAAAAAAAAGAAAGAAAAGAAAGGAATGATTCTTTTATCCTTTGTACTCATTTGTTTTCCTTTTCATGCGCCTTGCTGCCCTACATAAAAGTTAGTTGTAACTCATTTAAATTCAGGTCTCCAGTGTGAAGTAGTGTATTGCTTAACTGGACAGGGCTGTAACCTGAAGTATAAGAAGGGGAGTGTCCACATTTCCCAACAGCAGGTCTTTAGCAATAAAGGTGCGGCACCACCAGTGCTAAAGAATACTATTCTAGTTAAATGTGTTTGTGTTCTGCATCTTCCATTGTGCAGTACACTCTATTATTTATAAATTCTAATCCTTTAATAAAGAAAAAATGTAAGAAAGAAAACAAAAACTACCACCCAAAACCAAAAGTCATCTACAGCCTTTGAAAATTCCTGGACATAAAGCATCAGTCACTGGATATTCCTTCACCCCTGCTAAGTTCCACAGTCTCGGAGCAGGCTTCCCAACAAGAGCGGAGAGAGCAGGGCAGGGAAATGTTGCTAAGTGACATGGGGTTTAGTTGTGCGATGGAGTATCAGATGACACTTGACATTGAGCCTTGTGCGACTTCACAGCCATTCCACAATATAAGGGAAGAGCTGCAATATTATGTAGATAATGGAGGATTGTAGACAGAGTGGCAAAATAGAGAATTCCTAGCTTCAACTGTGAGTTCCAAAAGGTCAGGTAGTTTAAGAATGATGTGGTTAGGCTGGGCGCAGTGGCTCACACCTATAATCCCAGCACTTTGGGAGGCTGAGGTGAGAGGATCACTTGAGGTAAGCAGTTCAAGACCAGCCTGGCCAACATGGTGAAACCCTGTCTCTACTAAAAATACAAAAATGGGCAGGTGCGGTGGCTCATGCCTGTAATCCCAGCACTTTGGGAGGCCGAGGCAGGCAGATCACGAGGTCAAGAGATCCAGACCATCCTGGTCAACATGGTGAAACCCTGTCTCTACTAAAAAAATACAAAAATTAGCTGGGCATGGTGGCTCGCACCTGTAGTCCCAGCTACTCAGGAGGCTGAGGCAGGAGAATCGCTTGAACCTGGGAGGTGGAGGTTGCAGTGAGCCAAGATCACGCCACTGCACTTCAGCCTGGGCAACAGAGCGAGACTCCATCTCAAAACAACAACAGCAACAACAACAAAACCCAAAAATTAGCTGAACATGGTAGTACACACCTGTAGTCCCGGCTATTCAGAAGGCTGACGCAGGAGAATTGCTTGAACCCTAGAGGCGGAGGTTGCAATGGGCCAAGATGACAGCATTGTACCAGCCTGGGCAACAGAGTGAGACTCTGTCTCAAAAAGAAAAGAAAAGGAAAGAAAAAACAGAAATGCTGTTGTATACAGGCATACCTCAAATATATTGCAAAGTCAATTTTAGACCATCCCACAACAAAGTGAATATTGCAATAGAGTCACACATACTAAAAAAAAAAAAAAAAAAAAAAAAAAGATGTGCCAGTGATGCAAGTT